TGTCCAGTGTCCTTCTGTCACTGACAAAAGGAAAAGCTTATCATTCGCCAATTCCTGCAATTAAGTTTTCTATATTTAATTAAATGCCAAAATTTTGCAAAATTAAAGTAACGTGACAGGTAAGACGATTAAAATGTGTAAGAGAACGTTATAGGAATTCGCAATTTCTGTAACGTTCTCTCACACATTTTAATCACCACAAAAAAAAATGTAGTGAAACAAATTTATTCCTATCGTGTCTTTAAAAACACTTTTCAAATTTACTCTGAGCTATTCTAAATTCTTGTGAATCTCTCAAAAAGTGGGCAACAAAAAAAGTTTCTCAGTATTAAGAACATTGTGACGTTCATAAAATCTAATCTGATGTAATTATCATGATAATGATGAAATCGCAGAGCGTACATATCTAAAACATTTCAAACATGATATCACCTTTTGAATAGGACTTCAGTTAGAATATTGTAAAGTTTTTGTAGAGTTACTCCTCGATTCAGTTTGTAGCTGTAGCATCATTATCAAAAATGTTATCTTTAATACTGGATTTTGAGACAGTCATACTTTGACCTTTTTTATTGGTGCAACATTTTTCATGCTTGAAACTTTTCAAAAATATAATAATTTAAATGGTAATAATTTAGACACCATTTAAATGGTGTCTAAATTAAACTTTTGATCAGTCGTTTACACAAATTTTAGGCCCACAACGCAAAAATTTGCTCAATATTGTTTATAAGCAGTACTGCACAAAGCAACGCGTTAACGAATCATATCGAAAATTGAAAAATGCGTTTAAAAAGTTACATGACGACTATTTGGATATAAAGGGGCGAAATATTTTCAGCAAATATATGAAAATGCAACAAATGATCTGCAAGGTATTGCTTATGTTTGTCATCTATTTGTCATCAAATTATGCTTGCTTATCTATCCGGTAGTTTTACCGGAAATTGCAAATTTTTATTGTGGTCCAAATTTGGAATTTTTATTTTAGATAGGTCGGTTTTTTTACGCATGATATTTTAATATTGACTATAAAATATTTTTAAATAAAAAATAAAAAAGTACTTTAAATAAAAAGTACTTTAATTCAGTTTAAATTTCAATATAAGTTGAAATTCTTTAACTTCATCATAGTATCACTGAAATCATATGCATGCATATGTTGTAGGTGATAAACCTCGACAAACAATATTGGCAGTTAATTAATGTACCTGCACCGGAACCATCACAATCAACCAAAGATTATGTAACGCGGTTTGTCAGTGCTTCCCGAAATTTAAAAATTAAAATTGGATAGAATGATAGACAAATTTTTTATTGATCAATTTTATTGGAATGAAAATGTAGTAATAAATTTTATTTTTCGAAATCGAGGATTGAATAACTCTATTTATTATTATAAACAATGTTCTATTTAATTTTAGTGCAATGGAGCTAGTAAATGTGACACAACTGGAACAAATTCGACCATCGGGTATTACTGCTTTATTAGGAATAATAAAAATTGTAGAAAATGTTGCAGAAGCAATTATTTCAAAACGAAAAGATGTGTGATGGCTTTTAAATCAAATTACCAAATTATTCTCAAAACAATAAAATTCTAAACTAGTAGAAAGAACTCGTCATTGTGAATATATTTTAACTCTTATTTAAAATATAAACCTCAAAGTTTATTAACTTTAAACTTTTGTCAATTAATTTGATTTATCAGCTTTAAACTCTTGCCGATTGATCTTTTCATACATAAAAAATTCCACTTCATTTTCTTTTTTTGATGCACAAAATTAGAAATATTTTTAGACTTACCAGCAAGTGATTTACGAAATGAATGCGATCGAATGTATATCACATTATATAAATTATTACAAAAATATTTTAAGCTTCAGGAAATGCTTAAAGAATTGAATTCAAACGTTCATTTCGCACGTTTTTTACCATCATTCCACAATACAATTTGTTAAAATTTGCGATAAAAAATGTAATCAGAGACAAACATTTGCTGAAATATATCACGAGCCAGATATATAATTAGTAGTTATTGTTTTTCGAATATTTATGAATTTTTTTTTCTTCTTTTGTTTCTTTTAACTTTCCTCCAAAATTTGACAACGAATTTGTTTTCCTGTTGTAAAAATGATGAAAATATTAAATGAATAAGTAATAAACTAAGAAAAAAAATTTTTCCATCAGATAATGCGAATATATTGATGCATAGCTATGTTTCATTTATTTTATTGAGAAATTTGAAAAAGATGCAAAACAATTCCATTTATATGCTTTTAACATGATGAAGGCAATCAAAACTTGAACAATTAGACATTTCATTCAAAATGTAATTTTAATTTCAATTATTTTCGAGATATTTCAGAGTTTATGGATATCTAATGAACTTCTAGCGTTACATCTTAATTCTCCCATTTCGCTTAATGCACCTCATTCTTCGTCTTCCTTTTATTTGGTACCAAAAAAAGAAGAGATATTAAACATCTAAATTATTCGATTTGCATACCACTACAAATTGTTCCATAAAAAACATTAAAGTAGTGCTGGAAAATAAGCAAACAACATTTCATACGTAAATTTTAGAAATCGAATGTTCACAAATCACTATTGGAATTAAATTCTTTCCAAGCATGAAATAAATTGAGAAAAACACTGAACTCTTCTATCAATTTATTTATAACGTTTGCATTATAAAAGCGAAATATATTTTAGGTTAGCTGATGGAATCTATCAAAAGTTTCAACGAAATATTGTTGTCTGTGAGAAATTATTCATCTTCCATGTCCTGAAAACTAATAGTGAAGTCTTTAGTAAAACAAATTCATTCCTGCCGTATCTTTGAAAATAATTTTTAAATTTGCCCTGAACTAATCTAAATTCTTGTTAACTCAATAAATTAACAATTTATCTGTCCCTGCAAAAATAACTTGAAGTAAAATTTGCATTATTGCAGTTACATAGAAAGCTTTGTGTGCTTTTTTATTAATTGACAAATAATTTTTTTTTTAGATCACCGAAAATCAGTTCGTTATTCTGCTTTTAACATGATATTCTCTTCCTCTATAAAATTATCGAAATATTTATGCATTAAATTATAAACCTTTTTTCTGAATTAAATTTTTTAGTAATTTTAAAACCAACGCCTTTTGAATTGACTGATGCAACCGGTCAATTTTCAAAATTTTTTTTCCATCAAGAGAATCTTGATCACCAAATTCGATGAGCCATATCCTTAAATATATCCGTGATGCGGCATCATTTGTTAATATTGATTATAGAGAGGATCTTGAACACAAAAGAATGGATTTAATTTGTCATTCTAAGGTATTCTATTTTGGTTTTTTCTACCAAAACCTGATTTTTTCTTATCGATCATCGTTTGAAAACTTTAAATATAACTATCCCTAAAGTTCATTTTATTTCGTGCAACAGATTCTAAATTTCAACGAAGTAATGAAAAGTTGAATAAAAAAACAGTGCAATACTAACACAATGGGATGCAGATGTTTCATTTATTTTATCTCAATGGATAAATAATAAAGTGCTCAAAAAATTATCAACAATTAATTAATCAGCATTGTTGGCAAAATGCTTAATAATATTTTAATATGCTTGAAGTTATATTTAATTTTAAGAGACTTTATTTTCCTTATAAAAAATAATAATAAACCGAGTTGTACCATAACTTTTAACATACCAAATTTTTTTTCATTAAAATTTTGGCATATATATATATATATATATGAAACATATTCGATTGATTATTGGTCAAAGTTTTCCGGATCACTATGGTCTGTCTTTAGAAGTTGACATTAGTTGACATCATACAATTCTCATGAGGAGTATTGATCCGGTTCCTCAAAGTTTGTCATTCCGTAACTCAATCAACGATCTTTGTGATGTCGACAATGATTGATTTTATTTCGGTGTCAACAAGTCGTGGATTGTTTTGGAAATTACCGATACCAAAAAAATGGTCCCATCATGAATAACCTCGGTGTCCCATTTGATTTCTCTATCTTTTTCTTTTCAATCAATAAAATAAAGTTTCACTTTGATGAAAAACGATAAATTTTAGTGTAACAAATATTTCTCACATTTAAAATTTGTGTTTTATTCAGAAATTTTTCAAAGCAAAAGCTTGTTTTAAATACATAGCTATTTTTTTTAAAGTGGCATTGATAGTTTTTCAGTCACTGAAAAAAATTTTTTTTAAATAATAATTTACACATTTAATGACGTAATGGCTTAAAGTTATTGAAACTGATTCATGATGTTAGCTGATCAATAAAAATGATAACTTTGATTATTATTTGATATCACTTCAATTTTTGTTCCTTAAACTAAGAAAGTGAGTGAATCAACAGGTCCGCAAATGAAAAAGCTAGCTTCTGTTCTGCCAGCATCCAATTAATTCCTCAAAATGTATGGAACAGCAATACATTTACCGCTCAGTAAAATAAGTTTTTCCTACATGATATTACTTAAATTTAAATTTTTACCGATTTTTGTCAACAAAATACAACATTCAAATATTTCTGAAATTCAATTCAACGATTAATATATACATTTTACTCTCTTGAAAATTTATATTTCAGAGTATGAAATCTGTTAGGTATATTTCTATGAAAATGATATCAAACTGATGAAACGATTGACATCACCATCATATTTTAAACAGACATTTTATTACAATAAAACAAAAACAATTCATGTGATTTTGCTGCCACCTTTCACGTTAACAACATTATCGTATTGAATTTTTTTCGTGTCGTTGAAATTATTATACTTGCAAAAATATATTTGTTATGGAAGTATTGAGCAAAATATTGGTCCCTATTGTTGCCATATTTTACTTCAAATTTCTATCTAAGGAATGAAGATCAAGACAGAGAAGAAGTAAGCAAATGGCCAACAACTCGAAAACTCACTTTAAATTTCTGATTTTTCTCAAGTTAAGCTCAACAAATGCCTATCATTCAATTTTTTTAAAGTAAGTTAATTCTTCAAATGTGAATCATCAAATCCACCTGTACAATAAAGTTCAGGAAGTATCAATATTAGGTAAAGATATGTAAAATATATGTACATACAAGACGACATTGTGTGATTAAACGAAATGTGTTACTACTGATTGCATCCGCAGTAGTGATACTGATCAATTTTGTGATCAAAGAGTAGTAGCAACACTGGACCAAACAAAAGAATACATAGTGATAGAGCAAAACCAGCGGCTTTTATACGATTTAAAAGAATTTCGTAATCAGGAATTTTCAGTGACTAAATTTCTTAGTCTACTTCTTAGCCTAACATTCTTTGGTATCAGTCCCACTTTTCCGGTACCTCCACTTCTACTACTACTCATCGAAAATTTTTTATTTTGATAAGCCATGTGGATGAACTCAATGCAGGCCATTAGCTTTCCCGATCAAAGTATTTTATTAGTTGAATATGAGAAAGTTAATCGTGTTAATTGAGTATAATGGCAGAAAATCCGAAAAAAAAGAAATAGTCATTAATCATCGTTTCTAATACATCCTTGAAAACCGAAGCAGTTACTAAAAAACCTTTCAATGAAGTTATGAAAAATGGGTTATGACAAAGATTGAGATAAGTGTTCTTGTCAAGAATAAAAAATTGAAGAAAAAAGTTTGAAAAACTAATGACTTGATTTTGACCCAAAACTTGAATATATTTACGCAAACTAATTGAAAACCATTGAGATTAATTAATCATTTTCAAAATTGAGCAACAATATCTGTACACTTTTCTGAATATATTCTAGAGCAGAATTAAAGAAAGTATTTGTTAAATTATTTCATACAGAATATTTTGTCTAATTTCATATTTACCGTATGTGATCTAATATCAAAAATACTGCAAAATATCGAAAAATATGAACATTTTCAGGTAGAGATATAAAAAGAAGAAAATTTTTTTTGTTCTACCATATTTTTTACTCATTCATCTTATGCATATTTTATTCTGCCATAATTTCAAAGTTTAAAATTTGCAATTTCATCATTCTTCAAACTTTAACTGCTTGATATTGCGCAAAAATAAAAGCGATGCAACTATTGAACAACGTTTTTGTTAAGTATTCATATCTGTTCAATAAATAATTCGGAAAAAAATGGAAATGTAATGAAATATAAACATTACACTTTTTCCAAAATGATATAATAAATTGATAATCTTTCTCTTTTCATTTTCATGTTAAATATATTGTTGCAGTCAGTTTCCAATATAAAGAAAAAATTGAAATTTTGCTTGTCTTATCAGTTTATGGTAATAGAATTTTATTATTGCTTGTCTTATTGTTATAATAGAATTTATTTAAATTTATTTTAGCTTTAAATATAAGCAGTTATGATAATCGAGGAAAGGAAGAGCAGGACTATTTTGTTTTCAGTCATTTTAAAAATCAACTTTTTTTATTTTGAAAATAAACTGATCAATTCGCTACACTTCAAAATTACTTAAATTGACACATAATTGTGTTGCCATAGTGATAAGATATAGAAGTTTTCTGATTACTACTGAAAGCATTTCATCTCTTCTTACTCCCTCAAACAAATACCGTCTAGCAACAAGTCTTACCTCCCATTTTCATAAAATCTCATTTCATTTTTCTCTCCTTTTAAATCTTACATTCTTTCTCTTACTTCGTTAATTATTTCGGTTTAAAAGCTTGATTTAAAAATATCTCAGTTTCTGAAACTTCACATGTACTATGTAAGTAAAGATTCACATCCCGGAAATAGAATTTGTTCATCTCATACCATTCACAATATCATTAATATCAAACTTGAGACTAATTATATTTACCATTCTCAACTTCACTTTTTTTCGTTTACAACAAAAATTCTAAACTTGAAACTGAAAAAAACAATCCCAAAGCATTGGTTTTTGTTTTTGTTTCCTTTCAGCTTCTCTTTTAGTATTCAGAAAATATTAGAAAACAAGAAAATCAATAAAGCTTCTTAATTTAATTTTGAATAATTTACTAAAAAAAAATTACGTTAAGTATTAGAAAAATTAACATATTCTTCTCTTTTCAGATTAATGCCGTATTTTTTGCTAATATTCCTTATTCTTTATCAATTACAGGTAACATAACAATTATTCTCAATGCAAACTTATTAACAATGTCGGCAATATCTTTTTTATTTATATTCAAAATTTCTGAAAAATTCGAAATCATATATTATTGTATCTCAGCTTCAATTTTTTCTACAATGAAATGTGTTTATTCATTTCAGAAAAATAATGCAGAAGGAGAAATGACATCAACACCTTCTGCAACCGAAATTGAAGCTGGTTTTAAATTTTACTTTAATACACTGAAACATTTGCTCTTAGAAATTGTTGTATAGATAAAGATTGAATTTTCAAAATACAAAGTTCCTAAATACAAAATTAAAATACGAAGTCAAAATACGACGTTAAAAATTCCAAAAAATTGTTGACAGAAAAAAAAGAATTCCTTTATTGAGCTGTGATTAACTTATGGTTCTCTGAATGTCGAGTGAAAAATCACTAAAGTTTGATAAAAAAAGTCTAAAAAGTGCCAATTTTTCTCCACTTACTTAAGCATCTTTATTTACAAGTTTTTAAAACATGTTTGAATCTGACGCAAAAGATTCTATTAGCTTTTAGTAGTGACAGAAATATTTTTGAAATCTTTTGAATAGATTTCGTGTACTTCGATCTATTGTATTTCTAATAAAGGTCACAATTCTATATTTTACCGTTAATTTAATTAATAATTTCCAATTATATTCATAGTAAATCCAACATTCAATGTATAATTATCCAATTTCATACCTGAAGTTCTTTACAGCAATCAGCAATTATTATTTCAGGAGCAACAGGATCGAGCATATTAACAACTACAAAAGGAACTCAGTGTTTGGCATCATTGACAGTGCTTCCTGGATGGCTTACACTTACATCTCTCTTATATGAAATTATTCGAAGTTTCTGATATTATAAGCAAACTTGGATAAGCATATCTATTATGTTCATAATGAATTTACTTTTACTTTATTTTTGGACAACTTATTTTTAGGATTTGTATAAAATTACATAATTACTAAATTTTATCGAAAAATAATTTGTAAATTTATTTCTATCAAGTTTATTATAAGCTAACGCAAAGAAAAGAAAGATGATGATTTATACATATATTTACTTCAACTTACTTTTGCAAACTTATAAATTTATACGATGATAGCGCAATAGACCGAACAACTACCTTAGCAACAAACCATAAACCGCTAAAAATATAGCAGTGAAGTTATGCGACAGACAGTTGCGCATGCTTCTGATATCGTGCGGAAATGTATCAAGCAAGGTTGCGCATCGGTTTTTCTGAAAGTGGTTTACGATTTCTATCTTTCGAAGCATTCCGCATGATCCACCACTGGTGAACATGTCGATGGCTATCTGATATATGAAATAGTGTATTCGCGGTCTGCTTTAAGTTTCTTGGATATAAACTAATCGTGCTTCATACCGCCTGCTAAGATTTACGCTATAATAAGCTTTTTTAAATTCTTTATTTCATTTCCGATATGTACATCGTTTTGTATTGTGCAGTGATTATCGAAAACATAGAAAAATAAATTATTGCCGAACAGTTTAAATAGTTTTAAGTAAAATGATTAAGTTTTATGTTGCATCGCTTTTTTCATTAGATACATTTCTTTTAGAAGTTATACAACTTTTGCGTAAATTTTTTGCACTTCACTAAAAGAAGTGTCGCTTCGGTTTATAAACCAAACAATGTGTCTTTTTAAAGTAGAAAATTTCTGAACCAATTCAGTCAGAATTTGAAATAAATTTTGAAATAGGAAAACATTTCAATAATTTTTTACTGATTAAAAAAATGATTTCGTTCGAAATTTGAGCATTCTCATTTATTATAGAAAAATTCGACCCTTTTCCCGATATTTCAAAATCTAGTTTCTTCACCATGAAATGATGGAAATGCAGATGAATCCAGATTTGAGTGCAGCATTCTCCAGTCTTCAAAAAACGAATAAATTTCTGGCAAATAGTTTTTTAGGGGAAATGAGATTTTTGGAAAATAAAAACCCACTTTGAAACGAGTTACGTGCGTTCATTAAAAGAAAGCAAACAGTAATTACCAATAAATTTATTGAAATGCCTACTGTAAAGTACTAAACTGGATTATTTCACTTTAAGAATTTTTTAAAATAAATTCGGAAAATTAAAATTCACGATTGGAAATGAATTATTCAAACGGAAATATAAAAAATGAATACTTGAAACAGAAACGAAAACTGGAATGCTGAAACCATCAAGAAGTTTTTGTAATTTGGCACAACTAAAACTAAAATACTGAATTCAATTACTTTTTTTGAAATATGCTTCGGGAAATGAGCTTAAATGTTGGAAATGATAACTTTGAATTTGTAAATCAAAATGAAAAATAAAGTTAGAAATGAATTATCCAAACGGCAGTAACAGGAATGCTGAAATCATTGAGACCATTCGTGGTTCCTCGTCGCGCGCGAATTTGAAAATATCTCATCGCGCGCGAATTTGAAAATATCTCCTCGCAGGTACAGGCACGTACTGGCGTCGTCCATATAAATAGTGACACGTCATCCATAGGATTTTTGGGATTGCTTCATTCTTGAGATAATTAGGGGTACAGAAGGGCCGCGTTTTTGTGTTCCTCGGAGGTGAGTGTCCGTGTTTTCGGGAGGCTTGTGCGAGATTCGTAAGAGGGATATCCGCACATCAGTTCTGTTCTGGTGCAAATATGTAAACATTTACCTGGGGGGGGAGATAGTTGATGTTATAAGGATAGGTTTTTATAAATCTAATCCATCGTCTGTAATAATTCGCCAACAGTTCAATTGTTTTGTGGTCATTTTTTCTCTTTTTTTTGAAATGCAGATCATATTATTTGTTTAATGAACTTTTTTCCTTTTTTTTTTCAAAATTTTTTCTTTCACTTTTTTTACCTATCTCATATTTCTTTGAAAGCATGAACATATATATCGTATCGTTTATATTTTACAAAACAGATTTATTTTGTTTATTTGTAGTGCAAAGATGCATAATTGTAATGAACGTGAAGAATTATCATCCGGAGATGAAATGCACAATAGAGCCGTAACATCTACATCGAATGTTCAGGCAATTATAGATGCCGCGATTCGGGAGTATCAAACGATCAATATGATTCGGTCAAACACTGAGTAGGTTCCAAGTTTGTTTGGTTATTATTGAAAAATCCGGTTCATTAGCCAAATCTTTGATTATTACACAGAATTAATAAGTAATCGCACCATTATTATCCACACATTTCTAGTTGTAACATTTGATATTGTTGAATACTGGTGTAATTTTCGGAAAGATAACAGAGCAGTTTTTGCAGACAAACTTACTTTCACATAATAAAAGTTTGATGCGCTATGTAAATTGACGTTTCATTATTTCATCTTTCATCTTATACTTTATAAAAAATGTCAAATAATTCAGACATTCAGAATGGATAAGAGGATTTTGAAATAGGCTAACAAATGTTACCGGATTTTTCATTATTGGTCTTTTTTGTAATTGAGTTATTCTTTTCGAAAATATGACTTTTAAGTGCATTCCTGAAATTTAAATAAAAATCAGTGAATAATCCAAATAATATTTGTCAAGATTAGTTCGAAGTTAATATTCGGTTATCTATTCTGAAAGTCTGAATTATTTATAATTTTGTATAAGATAATGTGATTTTTTTGCTACTCTTTAAAAAAATTTCAAAAATCTTTTCATTTTAATATGTGTGTTTTTCAGAGCGGGAGTGCCTTTAATAGGAGAACAGTTAGGAATTCGCCCAAACTACTCAACAACTGGATTATACAGGAATTATGAGCGAAGAATTGAGAAGGCTCTTTTTTTAATTTTGATTTAAAACTCTTTTTTTAAGCCATTAGCGAAATGTACAAGTCTTTTATAAAATTTGCAACTGAAGTGCAAATCCGTCTTTAGGTTGGATGGATTGGTGAACCTACCTTTCATCCATTGGCGTTAATTCAGGGTCCTAACGGACCATGTGCTATTTCCAAGGAGTTAGTCCTTGTTGGCGGAGATCCGATTGCAGATGTCGTCGTTAAGGTCGTTTTCATAGTTGTTTTTATCAGTTTGTTCATTTTTTTAATCAGCTTTTTAATAGCTTACGAAAACACTCACCGTATCAGGTCTTCTAAATTGAACAGCATATTTTATGCGAATCTTGGATTTTTTAGTTAGAATATTTTATAAAAACTGATTGTCTTCAAGTACTTGAAAATAAAATCTAATGCATTCTTGATTTCGATTCGCCAATTTTCATGGTTTTCTGCAGCGTTCATACTAAAAGGGTTTCATCCGGAGGGACTGAAGCTTGGAGATTCGAGGATTTAGCCTTCAACTCAATAGTTAATACTTGTTAAACTTTCTCAGGGCTTTAATTGGTAACCATTCATCAGTGAGGTATGCTTCAATAACTTTTCGTAAAAACATTGTTTCAGCGAAGCAGCCACATAAGCAGGTGTCACTTTATTCTGTACTATACTGGTAAACCAAATCAGTGGAACATCAAAGTAAGGAGCAGAAACGGTATACTTGTTAATGGAATTATGTATGGACAGTCTGCGAGGGTTCGACGTATCCCTATGAGGTTTGTATTGATTGATTAGTAAAATAACAGCAACGTTGTCTGGACATTCAGTATAGTGCGTTTGCTGTTAATTACCATAACGGTTTCTGAATATACTTGTGCTCACTCTTCTAATCCACCGTGATTCTGTTTCTATCAATAAGATTCATATGTTACGTTGGTGTTTGATATTGTGATTTTTCGAAATAGTTTTGCTTAAAAATTTAGGGTTTTTTATTAGAAGAGACCAAAAAACAGAATAGACCAACAGAGATTTTGTGCATCTTTGTGGATTTCCTATTTGATTCAAATTATCTAGACCAAAAACTATCTATTGCCTTCTATAATTAAGCAAAATAATATTGATAGTACTGCGTAAGAAATCTATGTAAGGTTTTTCAGAAGTTTTTAGTGAGAATCTTAGAAATATGCATTGGCTGATTGTATTTGCTGCAGTAACGGATTCTATTAAACGCAGGTGTTGCACGCTACTTCGAGCGAGTAAAATATATTAATTAGAACAAGCGTTGAGGTTCACAATAGCTAAAAATCATAGAGCAATTTTATTAGCAGAAAAATTCGGAAATCTTTATGAAAATTTCTGCTTTCATTGAAAATTGTGGACTTCCATAAACATCTGTTCTTCCTTAGCTTTCAGAACTGTGAAATTGTAGAACAAAGCTCTATCAGTTTTGTATTTTTTCCATAGGCTCTTATTTTGGTACGAAAAATTCTATAGTCATATTAAGTCTGTTAAAAGTTTTGCATCTAATCACTAGCGAACCTTGTCTGATATTTGTTAATATAGTTGTCTTTCAATCATAACTACAGCATTTCTTTTCAATACGAAATGTATTTTATGAAATCCTTATAAGTTATCGTTCGATTTTCTTGAAGTTTAGACTTAGATGAATTGATCAGTGAAAATCTGAAGGAGGGAAAGAAAAGTGAAATAATTTATTAGCGAAATTCGGAAACGTTTAAATGTTACTGCCGTTGTTTAGATGTTCCAATTACTGGTCTATTCAGATATAAAATTTAGATAGTTATAAGCAATCGAGATAAGGATAAAAGACGAGAGAAAATAAAGGGATAGTCATAATGCGGAAAGGCATGGCAGGTGACTGATGGAAAGTTGAAATTAAAGGTGCTCGATGCTTGATGATTTTTGCGGATTGTTGTGCGGAACACTGAAGCATCGATAAGCAATGTTTGTAATAACGATGTGGCTCATCATTAGACCGTATTTTGACCTTATACATTATTGCAAGCAAATGCATATATATATAATTTATGTGATTCGTTAATCATTATCTTACTTTCTAGTTCTTAAAGACAGAAAAATATTTAATGGATTAAACAATACTGAGTCCGGTCATATGAACCAGTAATGTCGGATGTTTCTCGTAATTCTCTTAAGATTAGGCAATAGAATGAAGCACTCTGGTCGATAATTAGCATAAAATCTATTGAAAAGTTTGGTTGAGGGAATTATCCGAATCTTATATATTTGCACAACTGCATTTCCACAACAAAGTAACAGAGTCCTTAAAAAAGAAGATATCAAAACAGACAATTATAAGTGAGAAACTATGGAGAAAAAAAGTAATAACCGATAGAACGATATATTGAAAACAATGTATGAGTTAATATTGTCTATGAATAAGTAAATCTTCTTATCGATTAACAACTATTTCATATATTTTCAGCTGTATTTTTCGTTTTCCTTCCACAAGTGCTTATATGCTATTTTGTGGTATGGAACCGTTCCCTGCGAGTGGAAAAACAATTTTCTCTATCGTCAGGATGACAGAAAGTGAAATGAATTCAGCAGCTTCTGTACCACATTCAAGTTTCACTGGTGAGGATTTTTAAGTCAGAATTTATCAACTGATTAACCGAGGTTGAGTGCGAAATGCAAATTGCAGGAGGTCGGTTTAAATTGTTGAATTATTTATGCTGAAGTTTTAGCTTTCTTAAATTTAAGGGACTAAGCACCATTCTTTTTCAAACTGAAAGTTTCAATGAAACGATTATTTCAATGAAATTATGTTAAAAAATTATATTTCTGAAAAAATTTAGATGAATGTGAATACATTTAAACGTTCCGTATCATTTCTAATCTAAAAAAAGTGTAATTGTATTTGCTTTTGCAGATGCAGAAATGAGATTTTATTTATCCCGGTGTCACACGAAAGAAAGGACGATATGGACAAGTGAACAGAGCGAACCAATCCAAATACCTTCGGACCGTTCTGCAGGAGCAAAGTACCGTTTGCTTCTGTTTTCGATTGATGTGTTTATTATTATGCGTTTGTATCATTTTTTTTTTGGTCTATCGAAAGCAAATTCATTGATTGTTGCTCAATTTCACTTAACTTTTGTTTTACCAGTGGCACTGTTATTTCTGTCTTTACTCCCTAATTTTTATTAAGCTTTCAATGACTTATTATGTCTACGTCTTCTGAAATTGTCTAGTTGATACTTTTGCTTATGCTGTGATATTAAGAGTTGAATCTTATGGGAACTTCAAACATACCTTTCTTTTAAATATTTGAAGCTTTATTTCCTTTCTTTTTTGTCGGTTACAATAATATGATAATATGAAACATACATTTAGTGCCGGCACTGGATCACCGTCAACAATTTTTACATCAAATTCTGGTCGAAATTGCGAAGGTATTTTGAAAACATTTCACCATTTTTGATCTTAGTTAATTGTAAATGGAAAATTTGTAGATTATGAAATTTCGTATGGAGAACATTCATACGCGCAGTTGATCGTCCGACCTATTCTGAGTTCACCGGACCAGCGTTCTACTGAAAATCGAATTTTGCCAACTTCGATCTGTCATAATCTTTCATTGAATCAGTATTTCGTGAGGGTAAGATGGTCGCTATTCATTTTTGAATATTTCATAAGTTTAATCTCATTTCAATAAGCTATAACTTTTATAATGCTTACTATAATTCTTACTTGCTTATTATTCTCCCGGAGAAATTGAGGGAAGCAAAATTAAAACAATATTTTCACTTTTCAGCCTAGCTGGAAATAATATCTTGGAGGATCTGAAATATTTCGGAACAAATTTTAGGTCACGCGCTCCCAAGAAGAACCTGTCGAAAATTCTTTTTGGAGGATGGAATCATCTTTTGCCTCGCGTAACGTCGAATTGATTTATAAGAAGAGAAAACCAAAATTTTTGAAGGGTAGCAGGTATGTATTTTGTGGTACTAATTACTGGTTTTATTGGTGGAAAAATATAGCCGTATTTTTTACATTTCCCTTCCTTATGGTTGTGGTTGCTATTGCAGAGCATCTAAGTCATCATTATGCTATTTTTATTTGACTGGCGTTTCTTATTCTTAAATCTGTTTTGCTGCTGAAATCACTTGCATTCTGACAGGGAAACTGTTGCAGATCATCGAATTTTGCAGTGGACAACGATCCAGAATCTGCTGAGGGCATTATGGTCCCTATTGGTATCTATATTCTTTATCTATTTTGTTTCAAGTCACAGAAAAGTCAGTTTTCTAGATTAGTTTGGGCAGAAATTTAAAAGCGCAGTAGCATCAGGGATCCTATTTGTTATTTCGACACTGTGCAATTTGTTAGATGACATTTGATGATTTCGATATTAAGAAATTTAGCAAAGTAGTATTTCGTGCAATACAGAACATCCAATTTTCAAAGTAATCGTCTTCACAATCATTTTATTTTTCTTTCTGTGTCATATAGTTTAGGAAATGGGTGGGATTTATGCATTGAAATTATCGCATAAAATTACTAACAGTGAACAAGTACAAAAATTTGCATAAACTTGGTAATCTTAATTTTACTTCCACTTGGTTTTGCTAAATAGTCTTTTTTCAACAGAAGCGCGCATACCGGACATTCTAATTACGCACAATTTATCTTTTTCTTTTCTTTTTTTCTTTTATTTCCTTTTTTTTCTTTTTTTTGTTAGAAAAAGATAAATGGATACGTTAAGGTCGGATGGTGTTAGTTCCATGAACTGTGGGGTTCATCAATTCGGGCTCATCTAAGGGGTGAATGTGTTTAAATAGAATTTATATTGGTTAACTACAAACAGGTTTTTTATATTGTTTTCAGAAAAACTTATTTTTGGAGAAGCTTGAATGTTTCATAAATTTTCTCAGAAATAAGATAGAGATAAGTTTTAGTATTCTGAATAAAAACGATTGAGATAGATTCAGGCACTTCCAGTCAACAAGTTATTGCTAATCCAGAAATGTGCGAAGAAATACTAGTATTGAACAACAGTAGCACCGAAAGTATTAGCACAAGTAGTAGCGAAGACAGCTTTAGTGATAGTGACAGTGAGAGTAACAGCATCGTTGGCAGCGATAGTAGCAGTGCAGGATCGGATGCAAGTGATGGAGATTCCAATTATTCTGCAGGTATGAGTTTTGTAAACATTTTTGAATTTTTTCTATTGTTAAGAATAAAAATGGTTCAAAAATGGAACATAAAATGTTTGATATCCTCCAGTTTATCGAATAATTTCTTCATGATTTCAATCATCATTTCACTGCATTAGCAAAAAAGTATCTTGAATTTTTCATAAATATGGAATGGTACGTTTGTTGGCTTTTTTCCTCTCTTTTTTATCATGAGAACCATCTTTGATAAAATAACGGTTGATGCGGTTGTGATTGCATATTATAACTCTGGAATAAGATAACAGAACAGTGGGTAAGATTGACCTTCTTGAATAGGTAGTAACTTTTCATAGAATTACTTATCTTTGGAAATTGTGAGGTCAGATCACTCGGAATAAACTATACCATAGGAAGATTTGCCGGTATTAAGATCGGAAATTTAAAATTTTTTGCTGAAATATATTTTCTATCGTTCTTTAATTTGGTTCCTAAATCTATGTAATCTTTTGAAAATTCATTCTCTCTTAGCAAGTAATTAAGTATATGTTGTTTGTTCGTCACTATCATCTTTGCCTTATTTATTTTTCAAAAATTTACATATAGTGTAGAAAATTGTTCTTTTGCAATCCTTCTGTTATTTCTTTCACGATGAAAATTTGCATATGTTTGTTGACGGTCTCATTTTCTTCCTCCTTCCCTTCCAGTCACGTTTTTTTGTGCCAAAAATTTGCATAAAGCTTAGATGGGCATTTTTAGATTTAGGAGAATCATTTTCGATGCGGGAGCCGATGAGAGCGGTTGCTTCGGCTGGGTGGGTGGAAATAGGGATTGTGGCGTGCCAATAACTATGGGGCAACATTTTCCGTGGTTTTTCGTAATATATAGTACAAGAAGTCTTTCATCTATTTAACGGACAGTTTCCGCCTGCTGAAGCAGTGTTTCCTCTACATCATCCGCAAAGTTATTTTTCTTCAGGTTAACTTTAGGTCTAAGCAATTATTTTTTATCATGTTCCATCGCCATTTATTTTTCTGCTTTCTATGTTTAATTTAAACTTATTTCGCCACATTGCTAGGAGATCTTGAAATTATTTCCTGAACATTAAAGTTGCAACTTCTGTTTCTCATAATCATTTTCTGTAATGATGATAATACCGTTTATGAAGATTATCATGTGTTGTTATATAGTGATATTTTACTGCGTTGGACAATCATCGCAGAGAAATCTTTAATTGATAAATACAACGCCAAATTTCTTAGATAATTGACAAAACAAATCTTCTTGCAGTGATTAAGGAATAACACTGAAGTTGCTGTTATGTCATTTCTGAAATAATCGTGAAACCATACATAGAATTGTGACATTGTTATGTAAAGTTTGATTCTTGAACAATTATAAAACACCGAATGCTTATGTCATTGACCGTGATATAATTTTAAGCATAAACTGACTGAGAGCTGAATACAGTGGACACTTTTGATGTTGTTGTTATGCTTCGGTTTTTCGAGTGAATTTATGTTATATAACCATGAGATCACTTGCTGAAGTTACTTGATGATTGACTGAAGCTGATATGAATTGCAGACAGATTGTTACGACCAGAATTTTGTTTCCGCGGCACGACTTTCAGATTTAACCAACCTGCGATAGAGGGACGAACTTGTTTGGAACCTCCTTGTTTAGTACCGAATTATCGATCCGTCACTTCCAGTAAAATTTCGCAGGTATTTTGTGTTTGTGGAAATTTTACGTATTTTGTTTACATAAGGAAATTACGAGTGAAATGTTCCGGAAATAACGTTTATCGATATATTTTCGTACTTTTTGATTTGCTAAAAAAATTGATTTTACATTTGATCATTTTATTTTCAAATTTAAATAGTTTCTAAATGTTACTTCCCGGTGACATTTTATTTTGCGGTAATTCAAATTTTTGAATTCAGGCAATGAGTTCTCCATATCACTTCATACTCAATAGAACAAAACAAAAAGATGGAGACAGAACAAAAAGTTTAAGCATGACACCTGTTCGAGTAACGTCTATCGAAGGTGGAATTATTTAATGATTAATTTTTTGTTAAGGATTCTTTTCTAGAACTTGCTACACCCTGATATCCTATATAACTCGATTACTAGTTAATGTAAAGTAGTATAGATATTGCAAGGTGGAAACAAATTGGTAGTTCTGATAATTGACGCATTCTGTTAAAATTTGTTTTTCTAAAAATTGAATAAGTTTCGGAATATGTCAGCTTTCGAAATATGGTACGATTATGATTTTAAAAAAAAATTCTGGCACAAATTCTTGCATGTTTGGATTTTTATTTCTACTTTTTTAAAATCTTAGATTTGAAAAACTGTATACTTCAGTCTGGCTTCATTCTTTTCAAATTGTCGTTTATTTCAAATCATTGCTTAAATTAAATTAAACTGTGAATAGGTTCGAATGGATTAAAATTCGAAGATCTCAGATCTGATATTATGATGTTGAGCGATTCAAATGAGTCGCAATATCATCAAGCTAAGGGAGAGGAAGCACAACCACATCACTCTAACAGACACCAAAATCCTATCTCCTCGGCACAAGCGGAACTATTCTTTGATGAAAAATTGATTGTCGCATCAAGTGCAAAAGCTCATTCGTACACAGAACCAGAGCGGCAGCACTCGAATTCATTTGATATGCAACAAGACATCGGCATTAAAAATTACGATGACGATGCTAAATTTGTCGTTCAAAACGAAATCACTGAAGAAAACGGCTATTTTATGCGAAAATATGATGTTGATGAGTCGGTCAAATTGAATGCATCTGAAATAAAGCGCTCATCGGGAGATATGTTAATTCATCGAAAACGAACATACATTGAAGCTGCTAGTGATAGTGGGGTTCAGGAAGAACATAAAGTTATTAAAGTAATTTTTTTCCTGGTTTTTCTTTATTCTGGTCTCTTTAAGCATGCAGCACATTAGAAGTTCTAATCAAGGATTTATGACTCTTTCTACAACAAACTTCAAGTGCCATGAACAGTCATCATATACCATCATGTAGGTGACGGTTTTTTTTTTTGAACTTCTGGAAATATTTATTTTTCCAGAAACCCAGAAAAATTGACGAAATCGCAGCTCATCTTATAGAGGGAGAAATGGAAGTAAATCAAGAGGAAACAGTTGACAAAGAATTTGCTTCAGGTACTGCGCAAATTAGTAAAAGGCACCTTTTGGATGGTTATCTCTAAAAATTTTTTTGGAAAACAAGGTCTGAAGAAAATAATAAAGCGCTTTTGATTATATAAATTACTTATTTTGTTCTATCTTTGTGATAAGTGATAATTTCATAAGTTGCCAACTGTATACTTGAAATTGACAGATAACAATTGCTATCCTACTGATGTATGGTAATTGTTTCCTTTTTTAGGAAGTCTTTTATTGACTCCACCACGTCCTATGAAGTTAGAAACCACCATCGCGACTAATTCTAATTTTCTGACGCAACAGTTCCAAACTGCTGACCATACGAATGAGAATGGGTTTTATCCTAATACCGTCGAAGCGGATTCTGTATTGAATAAATTAGAACTTGCACCATCCTTCTGCTGTGCGCAGTCGAAAATGATTCGAAGCAAATCATACACAAAGATGTCGCCACAGCAGCAATCAAATTTTGTAGGAAATCTGAATTCACGACCGCAAACAAATACCTCTGCAGCGACACAATTTTCAGACAACCAGCAAGCTACAGCTATGGCAGGTGCAAAATTTGCATCAGTATTTCAACGTCTGTTGGAGAAATCGGACATGCCAGATACCTTACAGTCAACCCAGCCGGTAAATGAATCTGTTAATGATGGATCAGCTTCACAGAATTTGCCTAGTTTCGATTCTTTACTGTCAGATGCCGCCTTTATGACAGTAATTTCTCAACTGGAGGCTGCTGCATATATGCAGTATCAGTTAAAAATTCAACAGATATATGCTTCTGCACAGTCGTCAGAATATCTCTCGAATTACGTTAATTATATTAGAACCCTTATGGGTGTTCCGGTGTCGCAAAATCAGTCACAGTCATCAAATTTATTTGCTCCAGCAAATGAACAGCGTCATCAAAATCCCCACGAATCACAACCACGGACGCATTCTCAGTTTACGTTCCCAAATTACTCCAACCTAGCAACCTTGTCAACTAATCCTTTTCTTGGTCCTAATTTAAATTTGAGTATTGGTCAGTGGTTCGATTATATGCGACTGCTTGCTGTACACTTCAGTCCAGCAGGGCTCTATATGTCACCTGTCACCACTCCGCTGTGGAATCCGCTATCCATGATTACACTGCAAAATGCATACCCAATGGCGCCCATATTTTCAAATTTACAGAAAGTGATCTCTGATTTAATGACACAACGCGACAATGACAGTATTTTTGAGAACAATGAGGCACAACATCCAAATTATTTGGGGGAATTATTAACGATGATCAACAACATGTCTTTCGATAGCAACGGTATTTTTATTATCATAATTTATGAAGTGAAAGTCAAATTCTTTCCTAGTTTTGTTGTTGGTAATGATAGAAATAATGGAATATCAGTTTAAGCTACTAAATCTGGAAAAATATTTTTGAGAATGTTTTCATCTTCAGATGATTTTACCGTCGTTGTGCTCTGGAAGTCTGAGCTGACGTTTGCGAAGTAACAACATTCTTTCATTTTTTCATTTTTTTTAACGAATTGACAAGCTTTTAATGGAATTTGTTACTTTCCTAGATTAATTCGTTCAAGATGGAGAGACAAACGGAAATCAAGTGCTATTAACGAAATGGAAATTTTTGACATGTTCATTTTTACAATTTAGGAATGCAGCACCGTGTTGGTTAGCAAACGTTCGATTTCTGGCGGTTTTTGGGACCAGCATTATGGTTTTTTTCTTGTTGCTGCTTCTAATATTTTTCTTTCAATCCACAACTTTGCACAACTTTTCTCCCTCTTTCTCGTTGTCTCTTTCCATCCACTTTTCTCTATTCATCCAATTCGAATATTTCCAATCCTTCTATAGCTTTGAAGATAATTTAAGTGTTTTTAAAATTTAAAGAATTATTCAAATTCCTGTACTGTTTTCTTCTACCTTTTCTTTTTTTTTCTCGGCATAATAATGACAGGGGTAAAAATTATGGAACAGTTTATGGGTGGAGGATGATGGAGTGTTATTATGATTAATTTTAAAAATTATTATGGCAGGAACTTTATTTTGCAGCGGATTCACACTGTAAAGAATCATTTTGTTGTGGTATACTGTAGAGAGCATAAGTAAGTTATATTCCTCATCCAGCGACAATAGGTAATTGGCATACATGAGTGTACTTGAAATGATAATATATGCATTTTACATGGCTATGCAAACTTAATTTTAAAGTCAAATTTGTTGTCTCGAAACTGTTTTTTTTTTTTGGTTTTCCATTCTTTTAATCGGTGCTTTCCAATCCTCATGTTATGAGAGAACGGAATGCTGCACCATTTTATCGAAATTTTACCTCGTTTTTTATCAAATATTTTTTGTTTTGATTTCGTTATTGCTGAAATTAATTTAATAATTATTTCAAACTAACTTATTACTTCAAAATCTACTCGTTACTTGTGCGATTTGTATGCCCTTGAAATTTAAGGATTCTGTTATTGGTGCACGAAAGACTCAGGATCCTCTGGATCCTCATTTCTGTATTTTTGGATTTACAACATGTACCTCACTTTTCCTGATATTCTACAACCGAGATCGAGAATGTTGCGAAGGGCTTGAAGATTTTTTGAAATGTAATGCTTTCGTATGATAAACTTATCCTCTGAAATTACCAAAATTCAGGGTATCCGGTGTTGTATTTGATTTTATAGTTGAATAAAGTTTTTTTTTAGATGAACAGATCTCAGAATATATAGAGGTACACATATCTTCTGCAGAGAAAAGAAAATGTACCTTTCTTTCAAATCCATTTTTCTCACTACTAAGCCCCCAGATCCGTTAGTTAGTGTCTCATATGTGCTACCTTTTGAACATTTCAGGCTATTTCAATACCACAGTAGGTTAGTGTAGCGTATGTGCCAGCAATCACTCATCAATAAAAAAAAAAAAACAGTTTACCCGCGTCAAAAGAACCTCGTGACTTCAATTTGACTGTACAATCTAAAAGAAAAAAACAATGAAAGTAGGGATAGAAGAGGGGCGAACATACAAAACGAAGAAAAGATATCCATCAAAAGAGCATTTCACAGGTATAGCCAGACTACAAGACAAAACAAAATACGGCATGTATACAAATTTGATGAGTAGCCAACGATTGACTCCAGTCGGATCACTATTCAATCATTTATTTGTAAAATCTTTCAAATGATGATATGAATCAATCTGAAAACAGCTTACAGTGTTAACTGCCCATTCCATTCAATTTCCTCTACGTTCAGCTATTGGTGGATATTTCCTATTTAAAATCTGGCAGATTTCAAAATTTTGTAAAAGCGAAGGTCATGTCAACTACGGAAATCAAGAAAGTAGTGATAATCTCAAGCGAGAAACAAACACCAATCATCAAAAAAAAATTTATATTAAAAAAAAAACACGTTTCGGCATGTTTTCGTATTATGACGATTCTAAATGATCACCGAATTCTCAAATTTTTAATCACAGAGGAATGAAAGAAAAAGAAAAAAAAAACACTGCAACGATTTTTTCCCTTTTCCTGTCGCAATATTTTAAGATCACCGAATTCCAAAACTATTTATTTCCACAACTAAATAGTTTTTTTTTAAGTTATTTGAAAGTTTTCATATGGGTAAAATTTGTACATCTGAGGTAGTTACTAGTTAAAACAACAAATGATCAATACTCAGTAAATACGCATATCCTTTTGGACTTCATGACACTAAGCAATTTCAACTTAACCCGGGAGTCCCGGAATATTGATGACAAATAAATGAAATTAAGAAAAAAAAATGAAATCTATATGACAAAGATATTGGAAAAATCAAAGTAACGACCATAAACAATCTTCATTTCCGAGATACACATACAGGCTTTGATGCTGATGAAAAAAGGTGTACGGAAATGGTGAAAACCTTAAAATGAAAGAAATTTTAGAATACTAATTTAAACTCATAAATTTCCTATATTTTTCGCGTAATAAGAAGCCTCCTTTTGAAAATGCTCCTAAAACAAAAATAAATTCCATTTTCTTTTCTTATAAAAAAAGACCATAGACAAAATGTCGAAAAAATATTGCGATGTGCAAACAATTCTGATATCATCTTATTAGTAGTGCCAACAACTAAACCAGAAATAACGAAACAGACCATCATATTGTCAAATTGAAAGAATCAGTATGGCTATCGCAGTCATTAGTAGTAATAGCAGTTAGTAGTTAGTAGTGGTAGTTGTTATAGTAAGTTTTAGTAGTAGTAGTAATAGTGGTAATAATAGTAATAGTAGTAATAGTAGCAATGATAGTAATAGTAGTAATAATAGCAGTAATATAGCTATAGCAATAGCATCAGCAGTAGCATTAACAATAGCAATAGTAAGAGCAATAGCAATAGTAGTATTAGTAGTAGTACTTGTTGTTTTGTAGTAATGTAGTAGTAGTTACACAAATAGTAGTCGTAGTGATAGGAATGATAATAGTAAAAAAAAAATTGTAGTAATAGGAGTACCAGTACTATTAAAAAAACTGTTGCTGTTGTAGTTGTTATTATAGCAGTATAGAAGGAATAATACCAGTAACAGATATTAGTTTAAATTTAACAACCTGAGTTGATGACATACACAGAATATAGTTCAGAAACCCGTTTGATTCTCAATATGTTCCGTTCCGTGTTTCACTAGGGAGAAAACATGGCGTAAAAATAATCTAAAAGGACTATGACTTTTTGAAAAAATTCCACATAGTAAAAAACAGAAAGTTTGATATTAAAAAAAAGAAAATTCACTTGGAATTTAAAAAAAAAAAACAAAAATAAACTAAACTAAGAACAAAACTTACTGGTACCATTAATGGTACAAAAATGGAAAACCATGCAGCGTGAAATGCGTTTTCAAAATTCCCAATCATTTTTTTGATCTGAACCTGGGTTAAGCAAACAAATTCATACAGTGTAGGAATAAGTGGTACAAAAACACAACTAAAGTGACTTGGTTCTGACAAAACCAAAGATTAAAAAGTAAAGCATATTTCTTCACATAAATATAATCATAAGCCAACAATAAAACATAATCATAAGCCAACAATAATCAGCTGATCAATCAAATCGTCTGCGGGACCGAATATGTGTGATATGTCGAAGGTACGTTTCAAATACGAGGCAACACGCTGCAATTTTTATTACCATGAATTATTGCAAATTAAGGTTTTCTTTTCATACAAGTTCAAATTTCACGATTTAAAGCTGAGAAAAGTTTAGAATGAAACCCACTGTATTTGTGCAAAGTTAACCTGCTATGAGATTTAGGACAGCAAAGATTTGGGAATCTTCCATAGCAAAAAAAAATGATTATAAAAATTATAAGAGCAAATTCTTGCCAATTTACTGGAAGAATCCGGATTTTACAGAAAACAAATGTTAGCTTTCTGAATATCTTCATGTTTCATTGCTCCAGTTATGCGTGATTTTATAGCTGATTTTTTATCTTTTTCCTCATTTTCAGATATTTTTCTATTTTAAATGTACAAAATGAAGCATGAAGAAAACTGACTATAAGTTAGCATGAAAAACAAAACTTGAAAAAGCATTCAAGACAACTTTACATATATATGAGATTATTTAATTTAAGGAAAAAAGGAAACTAACAATAAGAGTGGATGTCATCATGAGGATGTTAGAATAGAGCTCGGTGGCTTGTCGTCCTACACGATCACGTATGATCTGAGCGTATAGATAATTTAAAAATTTTGTCCTTTCTATTCCCACGGTTGCCCTTCCTCTTACAGACAATCCATCAGCATCTGTAATAAAAGCATCCTATGCGAGCTTGAAAGTTATTCTCTTCAACTACTATATCATATTCAATCTTTATTGCTTAGAGCACAATAGAAGAGATAAGTCAAAACAATGCATGTAAATCAATTCCCAAATTGCTTCCTGTTCTTGGAAAATCCATCAATTATATTCTAACAGAAAGAAAAACTGCCTTTTCCAGAAAATAACAGCAAAAATAAACAAATCTGGACCAAATTCTTACCTGGGTTGAAAAACAACATAATTTTATACAAAACCATATGACTGTCAGAAAGTCTGAGCCGCAAAATTTGCTGACATACGCCATCAATGAGTAGAGCATTTATCGGCAGAATTTTCTTTCTGGAAGTATATATAAATGCCACCAGAGAATAAGATGTTTTGCTTTAAAAAATTAATTTCACATCTTGGTGTTATCAATAAAGTTGCTTTATTTTAATACACTATGCAATCATGTGAAAAAAAAAGCTCATTAATTAGGAAATATTAAAAAAATTTCCTACCCACTATTGAATGTGTTACTCTCGTCTATATCTTCCCTTTCCAGAAAACGTCCATCTGGATACCACAATCGTTCAACCTTCACAGCTTCATCAACTGTCCCGTTAGATTCAATTGATAACCCTGTGATTATGTGCAATTAACAATTTTCTTGAATACATGAAGAATTCATTCAGATTTTCCTTTATGTGTGGAACATAATTTCAGTCACCGAATGTAAAAAGTACTTCATAACTAGCAAATGGTATATTACACTGATGTAACGTAACAAAAAGCGTTATGAAAATGTATAAGTCAAGTTTATGGGAAACGAGTAGCAATAACAACTGAAAACTAACTCAGATTCACTACAGTCTCATAAAAAATATAATTTATGGCAAATTATACCCCATTTGCTTAAAACTTCCTGAGTGAATAATAATTCGTTAATGCTGAAATAAGCTTATTTAATGCAAGTATATTAGAAAAGAAATACAAACTAGAACACACCTGTACTCGACCTTGGCGAAGTTGCTAACAAATTTCCCAAAGAATTGTTTATGGACTGATTTTTTTCATATTTGCATGAATAATAAGCTAATTGAATGAGTGGGTAGATAGGTGCAAATGCCTTAATCAATGCCAGCTGTAAATATTTCACTACACTTGCAATTCTAATAATCACTTATCTGCTAAAGGCCATATCAAGCACCATTCACGCATAAAATAAAGCTTACCAAATATCTTAAACCACAAAGTAACTAAATAAGTAAATATAAAATCAGCCCAAAATTTCAAACTACATTACCCTTTATGGAACTGTAATCTTTACCAACATAATGGTAAGTCCATATTAGCAAAACCGAAAATTGCTTCCCTTCAAAGTAATTTAATTACCTTATCGTTAAGCAGAAGTTGTCTCATTTGTGGAATACATTTTGCCCATTCAATCATTAATGTTAGGTCTTTCACAAACCACGCACGCATATTTCCACGATCACAAGGCATTGGAGTTGTAACAGGTTGCTGTAATACAGCAACATCTATCAATTTTTAGCTTCCTTTTGAGTGCTTCGATACAAATCCTTTGCATGTTATAGCTTTTAAAGATTCCAATATACAAAGTTAGACTTATAGAATGTTTTCATAGAGCAACATAAAAAAAATTGACTTGGTGATGGAGAATTCCTCCGTACTTTCAACTTTTTAGATAACATACAAAAAGTTGAATAACTAAATGAAAAAGTTTAAAAATCTACCACTGGAACTGTATAAGCCGAAAGCCAAGCTTCGTCATCCAGAAGTCGTCTATCGTACATGCATGATGCAGCGGAAGTATGAGGAGGAAATTTGTTGGAATAACGAACGCTGTCGAGTTTGTGCTCCAAACTTAAGAGATCGGAAAGCAGACCAGACATTTCAGTCTAGAACAAATTAACATAGTTAGTAAACCTATGTTTTTCATCAGCGATTAAAAATCCAATAAATATTTATTTCTCTTGAGCAATCGTATAAACAGCATCCAAAATTTTAACAGGTGAAATACCGCAAAAAACTGATGACATAACTCTAAATATCACTACGTTAATATTAGTACAGAATACCTATATAAACAACGATGAAAGCTAACTAACTTGTACATCTTGAATATCGTGATCAAGATATGGTCCGTTACTGCTTGGTCCCAAACTCTGCCCGGCAAAATTCGATGATGGACTTGCAATTGCGTCATCGAGAGAACTGAACAAATTACCGGTGTAAAATGCATTTATATCAAGATTAAATTTATAGTTCAAATGCACTAAAATTAAAACAAAGTCTAGAAGAATAAAAATCATATAACAAAAATCATACAGAGTGCTTTGGGGACTGTTTTCTCCTTCCTCCCTCATCGGCTTTCCATTAAGAATATCTCTGCCAACACACGGTTTCTCATCTTTCATCTTTTTCAAACGTTTGGTATAACGGATCTTATCCCTGTCGTGTTGGATAGCTACAATTAATTAGTAACTCTTAGACTTCACCTTATATATGAAAATTAAATATACATGCACAAATAGTATTTGCAGGCTCAAACAACACCAGTAAATATTACTAAGGTTGATAATCGTTGAAAGACTGATATAATAGTAATTGTTAAATGCTTCACAATACTGGAAATTTTCTCCTGTGATTATAAAGACTGACTAGTAGGAACCAATACTGAAGAAATCTACTGGGCAATATCGAAAAATACAATCTCTAACAAGTAAGAGCTATAGAAATCTAGAAATTAATGATATTAAAGTAAAAATTGAACGATAACGTGGCTGACCATTTGGATCCATTCCCATTTCGAAGCATTTTTTCAGTCGGCAACTTCGACAACCACATCGTACAGCTGAAAAATTGTCGCAAAAAGAGACTGAAGAGAAAAGATCTATTTGTCAATTAAAACACACAATATATTTTTTTTGAAAATGCATAGGATACTCTTCTTTTTTCAAAAATGCAGTGTGCTTGCAAAATTACCGATCAGCTGTGTTTTACACAGAAACTTACATTTATCAACGATGCAATCGTCGGAAAACTGGCATTGGAAAGCTTGCTTATTCTGGAAAATTGAAAGTTTTAATTATAGTTAAATTATCTGCAATAGAACGACTCCACATCTTCCTCCTCAAAAAAAACACGAAAGAAAATTTAAGAATATCTAACAGCAAAGAGTAATATCTACAATTTACGTAAATTTCGTAAGAATTATGCCAAGGAACTATTTCAAATTTATTTTAAAATTACAAAGAGAAAGGGAAAATACGAGAAAACATACCACAAGCGCACGTCGGAAAAATGTTTTGCAGCCGTTGCAACTAGCAACCGAATAATGGATACCGCTGGCCAAATCCGAGCAAACAACACACAACGTACCTTCCGGAATTTTTTCTCTTCCTGAGAAAGAAAATGGAAGAATTCAAATAATAGTAATTTGCAAAAGATTAAGTCACTGTTTCAAAGATATTGGCACTTCAAAATTCTGCTCCTTCTCAAGAGCTTTTCACAGATAAAAAAAACACACATAAATTTCCACTTTAGTGTCACATAAATTTGCTACAGAATTTACATCCATTAATACTTGTGGCGAAGGGGAAATATTTCTGAAATATGTGTAAACATGCTTTATATGTACTGGTTATAAGAATTTAGTCTCATTAAGCGCAATAAAGAATGAAATTTGAAAAACTGTGAGATTTCTATTACCCAACTAATTGTCACTAATTTCCTGATTTTATCATTTTAATGGATCGTTTATGTACAATGAAGAAAACAATCCCTCCAATGCCTTTAGTTTTTGATTTGAGCCGAAAAAAAATCACTGGCTAATAAAATTTCATTAAAGAGATAAAACTTTAAGAATCATTCGCATCATGCTGGACGATCAAAATGATTAGTGACAATAGTTGGGTAAATGAAAATCTCACAAATAATGACAGAACCTAATTCAAGTGATGTTTAATGACAAGAAATGATAAATCAAAAATGAGGAAGTGAACCATTCATGCAACTGTACAACTTAAACGATTCAAAATCGTATGAAAATTGGAATGACTATACCATGACATGGTGGAAGCAGTGAAAGATATTCTGTTAGCTTGAAGGTATAATCTATTATCCGATTAATGTCATGGCATACAAATTTACAGTAACATTAAAACTTACTGTTATTAGGCATATCGGTTCGGAAGGTGCAGAAGATTGACGAAAGATACACATTGTAGAAAAGTTAGAAAAACGCGAGATCTTCCGCCATTTTAGGGAAATTCCATCAAAGGTGAACTGGTGAGATTCATAAAATTACCAAGTAACCCTTAAGTTCTGTGCGTTGAAGGATAACACGCAAATGAACGTATAAAACGTTTATAACTAAGCGTATAGAAGACGTCGTAACACAACTTGATGATACTCTATTTATTAAATATACTAAACATATATGGGGAAAAAACGGTATGTAAATTTTTACCATTTACTTTATACAGTTCGCTGATGTTGTTATTAAGGTGTCATTGGACCGTCTCGTTTGTCATGCTAGCTGCTTTGTTTCAGTAACACGAGATCCTTTCATACGATAGAAATTTTTTATATCTTTTTCAGGCATTCATATGACCTACTTTTTTGTCTTCGATGCATGCTTCTGTTCATGCAACCGGAAGAACCATTTCTTGCTGTTTCCGGCCCAAAAAAAGGACAAATGGCTGGATTAAAGCACACTACACATTATAGTTGATTTCCTTTTCTCTAATTTCAAAGGATTTTAAAAATTTAGAAAATTTACAAATTGCAGAAAAATGGTAGAAACACCAGATGCCGCAGTGAATGATTAGGGACAAGATGAAAAGGATAGGAGACTGAAGAGAGGGGAGAAAAGAGAAGGAGGATAGTAAGGAGAGAGAGAGAGAGAGAAAGAGAGAGTGACTTCTGGAAAGCTTCCTCGTTTCCTGGATGCTCCTATGGATCGATCGGCCTGTCTGCTATTACTCCAATCCCTATCTCCTCTCTCCCTCTCTCCCTTCCTCTCACTCTCTTCTATATTTTCCATTCTACTCTCTCTTCTTTTTACTATGTTTCGTGGTAGCTTTTTTTCTTCAACGCAGACAAGATGTCCAATGTGATATATTTCCATCAATTTTTCTGATGCGATCCTACGACATGAATGGTACAACGTGGGGTAATTTCACTTCACGTAAGGAATCGATTATATACATTTAAATCTCTTCACACTTTGTAAAGAAAGCCGCAAAGAATTCAATTGTTAACTAATTGCGTCGTTTATTTGCGTAAAATTTTTGTCTGCAATATCGAGACATTGTTGGATAATTTCCGGTCATCTTATCGATAATTTTGTTTTATAGCAAAAGAAAAGTTGGGAGAGATAAGAGGAGAAAAATGTGAGAAAGAAGAAAAATGGAAAAAAAAGATAGAAGAAAAAGAATATTATGCATGAAATTCATACTTGTATAAAATTTACTATTTTGAATTTACTGATATCTCCAACCAAGGGATATTTCAACTGCATGGAACTGATATACTTTTCTTGTCTTGAAACGATGAAATCATTAGGAAGATTTTGTAAATGGGAAAAAAAAGAAAGAAAAAATCTTTAGCTTCCTTTTCAATCCAACAATTCACTCAAATTCTTAGAAAAAGTTTTAGCAGCAATTGAGAATTTCAATTTATTTTTTTCTTTTTTTTCACTTGTCGAAAAGAAATCAACATTTGGTGACATATAATAAGTACACGGCAGGAAATGCTCTTATGAATAATGAAGGGCAGATATGATTGGACATTTGACATTCCATTATTTGGTATTTATTTGTTGATACTTTGATTGAGAAAAAGTTGAAGGTAGTAAGACTTTCAATTGAAGTATTTGTATGGAGTGTAATGAATTTTAAATATAAAAACAGCTTTTTTTAAAAAAAAAAAACAAAAAGTAACAAAAAATTTAGAAATTATTATCAAATGATAGATGAGAAAATGAGATCAGATAAGAACGTCAAAAGTTGACACTTTAACATGTTTGCAAAGAATAATCAAAGAATTCTGCATAAGGTCAATCAGTATAGTCTTTTAAATGTGAAACCGTTTTAAGCTTGAAACCAATTTTACGGTTGTCTCCTGATATTTTAGCAGTCAAAAATATGCTTAAAATTAAGACGAATTTTTGCGCAGTAAAATAAATTGTACTTGTTAACAAATTTGGATATTTGAAAAATGCGGCAATTATCCAGAAAACAGTTATATTATATATTACTTATAGAATTATAAACTAAAATATCAAATTTCTTTTTTTTTTATATCAAATTTCATTTCGAAAGTATTACTTTTTCCCTCTTGAAGTCACAGACATATGAAAATTTCGTTTTCTATGAACATGAGGTAAATTATTTTGGAATATACGAAAATTAAGCGAAACAAACTTTTTTGTCCATTACCTTTTTAGTTCTCTCTCGGCTATCCTTTTATATTTTAATGGTTGAATTTCGAATGTATTCCAGGTGTCGCCCAGACTATGGATCTGTACAACCGAAATTTTACATATTTTTGGTAGGATGTAAATTTTTAAATTACAAGGAAATAAGCTTACTTCCATGTTTCTGTTTTTTTATGGATCGTTTTCCTTCTGTTTTAATAGCATCCGTTCCCTGATCAAATTTAAGTGGGATTTGAAGTAAAGTACTGGTATGATTGATATCTTCATCGGTTGCATTTTGTCGTGACACGCCACCGGTAGTTGCATAAAAACCATCCGGAATTGCTGTTGATGAATCCATATATAGCGATGAAGCAAACTGCTTGAAATCTGATGTATATCTGACTACTTCAATCATTTAATCAATTTAATTGGCAGCAGTTTAGAGTTGTAATATGAATTGCTGATCCAATGATGTAATGAAATAAAAATCCTGAAAATCACTTCATTTTTAAGCTCATTAAATCATAAAAAGCTGGAATATCTCGGTTGAATAGTTGACGATTTGAATTTTTCTTATTAATAATTTCAGTATATTCGATTACATCATATGAAGAATATAAAATTGTTAGATATAAATTCATTTATAAGCATATAATAAAATAATAAGAATTACAGCCTCACTCCAAAAAAAAGATGAAAAAAAAAACATTTCAATCCCAATAGTTTAAAACTTATTATCATTCAAATTTATCATATTTAAGTGATTGAGAAAAAAAAAAGAAATCAAATTATTAGTTTCAAGCTACAGCTTTATGTTACGCTCCCGTTCTTTTTTGTTTATTGTTGTTTATTTTTTCTCTCGCCTTCATCCTTTCAAATATTACTTCGACAAAGAATAAAAGTTTTTCATTTTGTATCTTGGAAATGACACAGAATGTAATCCGTCTATTTCACTGTAACCAACAACATCCTTCAAATACTTAGAAGTCGCACTTTTCCCCTTTTTCATCATTTTATGATTGTCCACTCCGTAGAGTGAACGATTACCTAACTGAAGTAAGCATTGGATCTAAACTAAATAGGTAGTTTTAGTAAACATTTGGTATTTAGAATATTCTAGATGAAAAGGAGAAGAAAGAGGAGGAAAAGGATGAGTAAAAAGAGTTTTAAGTGCAGCATTGAAAAGGATTGTACGTAATCGCTTGTGAAGTAATTCTAATGAGTACTCAAAATGGACAACGTATAAATTATGCATGTATACATGTACGTATATGCGTAAGTATATGCGTATAAAGGTGTATATAAAATGTAAGCTTAGTTTAAGTATGTTTTAATAAAAGTGAATTTTGCGTTCAGATCTGATAATGTTTGGTTTTGGATTATAAACTAGTAAGGATGTTAGAATTTGATCCACTGGCAAGATAAGTTTAAAAATGAGAGCTAAGATGAAAGAAATTTGCAAAAAATTCTGTTGTAAGCATCGCTCCAGATAAGCATTTCTGGCTATCTTAGTTATTAATATCTCTTCTAATATTCTACAAAATCTTGGCTCCATCGATATACTTAACGGTTACGAAATTACAAAAAGTATGGAAGAGATCTTTTTTTTTTACTTCTTAATTTTCAATTAACCTATTCCGTCTTATTATCTTAAATATGAAAATTCGCAAAATTCATCAATCTTTTCTAATATGTTGTCATTCTAATGCATTTTTTTAAATGGATGACAAATGGATGACAAACTCGATCACAAATTTATTTATTCCGATACACCGATTTGTATGTAAAATTTCAAATACTCATTTCAACAAATTGGCCAAGTGATTAATAGTGCTAAATATAACAGCTGGGTATAATATTCAACTATCAGTGGAACAGAAAAACAAGAGAATAAAGTCTCCTTGGAGGATATTTCCGGTTTGTTCTTTACAAAGTGTATCTGAAGAAAAAACTTTGATAAATTATGAACTAAAATTCAAGGCTTTGCATTGTAAAGCTTTGGTAAACCACAAGATCACAAAAAGCAGCTATATAATGAATCTTAAACAAAAGATTTAAATGACCAGAAAAAAAATGCACAAAACTTTTTTTCAGGAAAACATTGAAATATAGAAATTTACGAATTATTAAGAATATTTTGCTGAAATATTTAAAAATTCTTCGTTTCTAATCTTTTCAAATAGAGCAAGAAATTTACTGTTACTATTACTTCTAAAATTTATCTATTATTTTCAATATTCATGATAGTACTGCTATAGTTGGTTAAAAGGTAAATATCGTGATGAATGATTCAAAACAAATTTGAGGAATTAAAATTAAAATTCCAGAATGAGAAAAATTGCAAGTTATTTTTCGGTTACTTACTTGTGTAATTATTTAGCAAAATTTTGAAATTTCAATTTTTCTGCATAAGCTTGATGAAATTGTTTTCCGTATGCCAATAAATAAATAAGGGTTGGAGAGAATATCTGATGATATCGTATGAAAGTACGGTTCTATACATACAATTGATTTTCAGGCTTTAAAAAGATAGCAGCAAATGATGAAAAATATTAACTTACATATCAATAAAATGGTGGACGGACGGAAAGAAGGAATAGTGGATATCACATATTCAACAAAAGTTTCATTTTCCATTCTATAAACCATTTATAGCTAGAACATTCTTTAATTAAAGTATAGATTTCTTTCGCCTATTTTTTTTCTTTTTTCAAATCAAAAAAAAATAATTTGTGTTGGACTTACGTCATACAAAATGAAAGAGAGCAAAAGGGAGAAAAGAGAAACAGAAGAGAAAAGTAAATAACTTGAAAATTAAATCCCGTTTAAACTGGTCTGGAATTGGTTAAACATGCACAGAGAAAATGAACTAATGCCCATCAATCAGAATTAAAACCGCATTAAATGATATTTCATTCAGTAACAACACTTCTCGTCCAAAAAATATTCAAACATCACTAACCATTACTGTTATTAATAGTAATAGCGATTATTATTACTACTGTTACTATCATTGTTATTATTATTATTAATACTTAATAATTACTAGTAGATAAGTGGTTCACGAATATTTACGCTATATCATCTTACTTCTTATACATAAGTTATTCACAATTCAAAAAAGAAAAACGGTCGAAAATTAAGTGCTATATATGCGAATGTTGCAAATATAACAAAAGAAAATCTCGTATAATGGTATTTAATCGCTTGTCTATTCAAATTGCATATCCAAAATTTGGAATTTTTAAAATCTTCAGATTTTGGAATAAAAATCAAAAATATATGCCAATCACCAAAAATAAATTCATCATGTTGTAGTTGCTAGACAAATTCGACTGACATTGAATGTGTTGTTTTCGGGTAGTCGTCAAGAAAAAAAAAAGTAGAACGAATTTTTAGAAAGTTGAACAGGTAAACGAGTAATTAAGAGTAGAAACTGTTCATTCAAAAAAAAAGAGAGAAGAAAAAAGCACAAAAATAGAAATATGTGATAAAGAAGAAACCGGAAAGAATGAATGTTCTGGTAAAGCAGGTTTGCCAAGAAAGAAAAAATATCTGATGTTTGATCGAATAAAAAAAAATTTTGAGAAATATTTTTCGATCATATTTATCCTGAATATATGAATATATGCACAATTTACTATTTCTGTATATTTTAATGATAAAATATATATATGTATATATATAATTTTAAAAATGCATATCAAATATTTGATAGTAATTATATGCCACAGAATCTATTCGTACTTTCAGTTGGGAAAATTATTTATTTATAATTGCAAAATTACTGATTGTAATAGGAGGCAATCTTTCCTTTACAGTTCCAGTACAGATACTATGCAATAAATGTTCAGTTAACATTTATCGCGCCTCGTTATTATAGCGGTGAAAGAAGCAAAATTTGTTTAAATTTTTTTCGAGATATTGGTACAGTAGTATATTTTGTTTGACTACTATGTGAAATAACTGCTCAATTAAATAATTCAAATTTATCAATTTACCGAATATGAAAATGATTACAAAAAACTAAATTAGACATGTGCTTGGAAAGAGTTAGAGATTAAGAAGTGAATTATCTTTTGCAATATCATATTGTCTTATTTGGGTAAAATGTCATCAATTGCTGACTGACTAAAGATAATTTATTTAAAGTTAACTATTAAAAGTAATATTAACCGGATGTTAACCGACTATTCCGGAAATATGCGAGTTGTAAACATATTGTTTTTTAAGCACTACCAGCTATCTGTGATATTTTTCATTTTCAACCTTCAAGGATTACGAGGAGTTGCGAAAATAGCAATCAAAAGAGAACTGGAAAAAAGGTCACACGAATATTTTCAAGGAAGTTCAGAAGCAATTTTATCTCCGAACATGTCTGCTTAAGGTAGACTATTTAATTTAAAAATAATAGCTTAAATTTTTTTGTCTTTTTTGTGGAGAAAAAAAAGAAACAGCCTTATTTGTAACTTAAAATGAGACGAAAATTAAAGGAAGTGAAAGAAGAATGTGTAACTTTTCCGGAATGAAAGAAATTACCACGAAAAATAACGAAACCGTTATTTTTTGTAGAAGCTACCATAATTGAAATTATTTACCTACAAAATATCAAATTCTAAGCTTTTGTGGTTAATAGATGGAATTTTTTTTTTGAAAATAGACGAAGGTTTAAATAAGAGTGAATCATTTATATGCATGTAAAAATTTGAATAAAAATTTTTCTATAGCATACCGACAACACTAACATTTCATGATACTAAAATATTGAATTTTGTTCAGTTAAATGTATTAAAAAAGGATTGGATTTGATAAGTGAAATTTTTCAGTAGTGAAAATTGGTTCAAAATTCTGGATTAGGAATTGAGAATTGTGTTGGTGCAAAAATTAGACTGAATGTTTCAAAAGAAATACGCGGAAAAAAAAAAGATTCCTTAAAAAAGTGCAACTAAGAACAATTACATTGACATGATTGGGAAAAAAATAAAGGAAAAAAAGGAAAGGAAGAAATGGTAGAAAAATTATCGATTTAACAACAAATTAAATGTTTAGATTTGGAATTTAAAAAAATTTATGCACAAATTTATTTTACTTTGCTAAAGGAAAAGAAAAATTACATTTTCTACCAGTTTAATTTTGTACATATTCAATTTAATATATGAAAATTTACAGCTTTTTTTTTCAGAAAGAAATAATCTAAAAAATACACTATTCTTTTAAATACCATTTTATTTCATAGTTGAAAAAAAATTTTTAAGAAAATATAATGTGCAGTATCAGTAAGCTATGTTATTATTTGTAATTAAACGATCTATTATATATCCTGTTAAAAAACAATTTAAAATTTCTGGTAAATTTTTTTTTGACTTAGTTTGAAATTTTTTGCAAAAATTCATGAGTGTTAATAGTGAAACATTT